GGTTGAGAGGCTGCGAGGGAGCGGCTGCGTGGGGTGCTCCTGCGTGTGCTTCCCTGGGATACGGCTGCAGGAAGGCTTCCGAGGGGAGATCGGTGTGTTTTGGGGCTGCCCTGGTGTGCCGTCCGCATTAAACCATCAACAGACTGCAACGCGTTTTTTGTATTAGAAAAACGTGAAGGCTCTGAAGAGGGAGTCCCATCACAGGCTGGTAGGAAGCCAGTCTTAAAATGACGTGGGAGCCAGGCTTTGCTCGGATCTAGGGCCACAGCTGGGTGCCCTAATAACAGAGGAGTGTCCTTGGGTGGGGGCTGTCGGGATCACAGCCTGTGCTCCAGCGCTGGGTGGGATTTGCCAGACGGCTGGGTGAAGGTCTGCCTCCCAACCAAGCTCTGTGTGCTCTTTCCCCAGGGACTGTCCCTAGCCCATCCGCTGCCCCAACACTTGCCCTGGGAGGAAGCCAGTCATGGGGGAGACGGGCAGAGAAGAGTATAAAATACAGTCGTTCGACACGGAGACTCAGAAGCTGCTGAAAACGGCCCTCAAAGGTCAGCAGGCTTTTTACTCGCTCCTCTGCCGCGCGCAGCTCGGCTGGCAGACGAGGCTGGATGCGTGGACCCCCTTAACGAACAGCAATTGCTAAGTGTAGAAAAGCTGTTTCATAAACGCTGTGCGTCCGTGACTGGGTCCCGCTGGTGAATCTTCTCCATGAAGGTCTTTGCTCCCTGCCTCTTCATGTCCCCTCTCCCCTTCTCCCCAGTGTTTACTGGTGCAGCTGCTCAAACTGAGCCCTGGGTTCTCATCGTGGTGGTTTTCTCTGATTTCGGGGTACCCTCCTCTCCTGCTCTAACCCTGCATCTCCCCCCAGATGTGGCCTCTCACCCCCCTCCCGGTGCCTAGTTCCTGCTCTCTGCCCCTTCCCACTGTGGGGCCATCTCGTCCTCCTGGCCCCTGGGTCTCCTGCTCACCTTCTCAGCTCTGTCTGAAGCCCGTCAGGCTCCCGCTAACCCAATTCAGAAGCAGTGCTGGAATTTCAGGTTGAGATCAACTTCTTGCTTCCCGTATTATCTGCTTTCCTCCATCGATTTCCCGTCGTGGTGGCTGTGTCTCCAGCCCGGGAGGACTGTGTGCCGTTGGAGGTGGTGTCTCCGAAGCAGTCGCTGGGCGAGTGGAGCCATGGCCCCTGATGTGGGGAGCGAGCGTGAGGTTTGGCACCGTGTAAGATGGTTGTGCCAGGCCCTGCGCCGACCTCGGCTGCTTTCCAGGTACCCCAAAGCAAGCAGGGCACCGAGGGTGCTGGGTCCTGACGGTGTTTCTCCTCTCTGCAGACCCCAGCAACGTGGACCTGGAGAAAGTGGCCAATATTATAGTGGACCAGTCCCTCAAAGACTGCGTGTTCAGCAAGGAGGCAGGGCGCATCTGCTACACCATCATCCAGGTGAGAGCTCCTCGTGTCCGGACGGCGAAACACTTCAGCTGGGCGGGTTGTCCCTAGGCTGGGCCAGGAGAGGCTTCGCCCCAGCCCTGCGCTCTGACCCCTCAGCCAGCTTTTCTCTTCTGGCGCTTGCCCCCATGCATCTGGACGAGCAGCCGGCGAGCACAGACAGTTGCAACTTTCCTGCCTCTCTGGGCAACCACAGGAGGCGATCTCGTGGTCCTGCGTCACCCCAGTGCCA